AACACTGAATTGGATGAAAGTTACGAATTTCTGAACATCCGATAAATAGATTACTAGTCATTAAATTCAAATATTGTTTCAGGGAAATCAAATTCTTTGAAGACCTTCTTCATAGAATTGGCTTCGTCCTGAATAGATGAAATGAAGAAAACATTGAGTCGGTTCCAATGCCTGAGGAACCATTTCAAAATAGTATCCCGGTTGCAAGTTGCAAATTTCTAACCTCAAACCAATGAAAATGTTGCTTCTGCTTCGCACCGTCTCAAATTTACCGAAACATCTGATTCCTCTACACTTCAGAGTGTGTTGACATACATTAGAGCTTGGCATGATGATGGCTTGATCGATTATTTATTTGATAACTTGTAAAACATGCGGAACACATTTAGACCTTGAAAAACGAGAGTTTTGCCTTATAGTTTTTGCCCGACAGAACAATCCTTTTATGTGTAGTTTCCGGAAATAAAATGTATTGACCCCATGACCATTTACTGATTAATGATGCATGCAATATGAGATAACCTAATGAGAAGTATGTACACGAAGGATACAAGATGCATAAGCCAGAAGATCCTTATAAAGGGGTAGGACAATTTTGGGGTATGACAACTACCCCTATTTAATCGTCTTAAACCTGAAAGTGAGATTGGTGTTAGCCTTTTGAACGTTCATGGTAGAATATGATTAAATATCAATTCCAAAAATTTGTTCTGAAAGGATGGTGTGAGCGGGTTATTTCTTTTTTGGTGATATCTGTTTTGGAAAGAATTTTCTGTTTTTCAGGTGAACAGGGTTTACAGATGAATTTTGAGTAGTGATCGCTCATAACATGGTAATGGTGCCAATACAAGGTTATCGAAAGGAAGTTTGTTATGTGATATAGTGGTTGATAAAATAGGTACAAAAGGATAACAAATAAGATCTACGGACGACCTACGATCCTAAAGAGCAAGAGACCTACGAGCGATCTACTTAGGGAATGAGTCCTATGGACGACCTATAAGGAAGTATAGATCTACGGGAAATCTAAAATCCTAAGAAGCGAGACCTATGGGCGATCAGCTAGGGGGATTAGGTCTACGGATAACCTACAAGGAAATCTAGACCTATAGGCGATCTACGATCCTCAGAAGCGAGACCTACGGGTGATCTGCTAGGGGGATTAGCTCTATGGGCGATCTATAAGGAAATATAGATCTACAGGCAATCTAAGATCCTAAGAAGCGAGACCTATGGGCGATCTGCTAGGGAAACTAGTCCTACGGACGACCTATAAGGAAATCTAGATCTACGGGCGATCTAAAATCCAAAGAAGCGAGACCTATGGGTGATCTGCTAGGAGAGTTAGATGTACAAATGATTTATAACGAAATCTAGAGCTACGAAGGATCTAAAATCCTAAGGTAAGACCTACGTGTGATCTACCAGAAAACTAGGCCTACAGGCGACCTATGAGGAAATCTAGATCTACGGGCGATCTAAAATCCTAAGATGAAAGAGAATATCGACTACGACACGATGACTAAAATAATGGAAATGACCAAGTGTATTGATTTTATTGGGATTTAAGGGGAAAATAAACACAAACAAGTGTATGAAAATCTGACATAGATGAGCATTTCGACAACTGACACACACTAGTGTTTGGAAAACTGACACGGATGAGTATTTGAGAAGCCGACACGGACAAGTGTTTAGAAGCCTACACAGATGAGTGTTTAGAAGAATGACACAGACGAGTGTTCAAGAGTCGACATGAAAGAGTCTTTAGAAGACTGACACAAATGAGTATTTGGGAAGCTGACACAGACGAGTGTTTAGAGAACTGACACGGACGAGTGTTCAGGAGAATAACATAGATGAGTGTTTAAGAAGTCGACACAGACGAGTGTTCAGAAGACTGACACAGACGAGTGTTTAAGAAGCCAACATGGACGAGTGTTCAAGAGACTGACATGGATGAGTGTACATGAGTACAGGGTACTGGCACTGTTAGCTAGGTATCGTGATGTTATGAAGGACGTCAGCTGGGGATTTTAGGGAGATATTCTCAGTGAAGATGTATTGTTTTTTTTGAATGATTCATGTATTTCGTACAAGGTACCCAATCTAGCTTATGCTTCGTATGAATGTTTGAATTTTTTGTGGTGTAATGATCCATTTCAATGGATATGCTACGCGTTTTGAGGATGCAATATTATGCAGTGGTAACTACATGAAAAGTGAAGAGAAATAAACTTTGTGGTGATAAGAACAAGCTTATAGGAAGTCACTGCTCGTTGCTTTGAAATACATATATGGATTGGTGTTGGAAAACCTGAGATACCAAAGATTATTGGAAACTTTATTGGGGATTGAATTACTGACAGAGTGAGTTTTCAAGTACGCCACTGAATTCTGAATTGTAGATTTGCTGGGGACGAAGCGATCTGATCTGAATTCTCTTCGTCCTCAATTGCTTGGGGATGGTAAGATGGATACGGACATGCTAGGGAATTGCATGATAAAAGCTACTTGGATCTCGTCGAGTGCCACGAGTCTGCCTTGTGTTGAGGAATTACATCTTAGACAACTTAGGGGATCATGAGATGGACATGGACGTCTTCGAGTTCCCCAATTTACTTCTATGATGGAGATTAGAGAATGATTTTGTGGGAACTACAAGTTGAACCATGTAAAACCTCCTGAATGCCCCATGTTTACTCTACTGGGGAATTGCACATGCATGTGCTAAATCACACAAAGATCCTAGGTATTCCAAGTTTACACCACTAGGGAAATGCACAAGACATGCTGAATCAAATGAAGATTCTTATTGCCCCAAGTTTACCCTGCTGCTGGGGAATCATGTGGACTGAGCCGCACAGAAAAAAAACCTGGATGCCCCAATTTAGTTTACTTTTGGGGAGTATACTTTGAATATCTGCAGGAGATGAGAATGACCTTTGCAATGTTGGTTGGGTTAAGGTGACCTTTATAGATTGCTATCTGTAGAAAAAACAACACTTGGAATTCCACGACAACCCTTTTGTGGGGATTTCATATCAATGTAAAGTCATGTTTCATTTTAACTTGAAATTATTGTTCCCCATGTTTTCAATGCAATGTTTAATAAAGAATACACACATTTTGCCTACGAAAAATTAAGATATCAATGATAATAAAGGGAGCTTTTTGGATTAAAACAATTTTATTGATTGAAATTTTTCCTGTAAATAGGTGTTCGTACAAGCAGACAACTCCAAAATGAGGTAGTTGTAAAAATGAAAATAAAATAGAATAGGTAAAAGGGCAATGGGAAATGCTCGAGTTTCCATTAAAACAGATAATCCTACAGTTCCCATATCCTTGATAGTCTCAATGCCTTGCTTCTGAAGAGTAGCGGTTGGATCGATATGTTCACTGCTAAGGTGCGAAAATGTACATGGCCATTCATGAATAATATTTAGACTTCAGCCTCTCGCTCATAATCCCTAACTTTTTCCTGGATCGGCCTTTCGGGTTTTCAATCCAGTGGGATACCCATTTTTGCCTAAGTCGCCTTTTCAGGTTTTCGACCTAGCAGGTTATTATTATTTTTCATTTTATCCCAAAATTTTTCCTGGACTTTCTCTTTTTTTTCGTGTCCACCGGGATGCCAATTTTTTCCTAAGTCGCCCTTGCGGGTTTTTGACTTAACGAGTCTTTTATGCTTAGTATTGTTTGACTAAGTCTGAATTGACTGGAAGTGGAATGTATTCCTCATCCATATCTATCAGGATTAGAGCACCTCCTGAAAAGGATTCCTTCACGATGCATGGTCCCTCATAGTTGGGAGTCCATTTATCCCTTGGATCAGAATGGCTTTGCACAATAATCTTCATTTTAAACAGATCACTAGGATAAAACTTCTAAGGGAGGATTTTCTTATCGAATGCCCTGTTCATTCTCTTTTGATACAATTTCCCATGACAAATGGCGGCCAAGCATTTCTCTTCAATCAGAATGAGAGTCTTGTCTGAAACCACTATGCCTCGTCAAGCTTAGTATCCATCAGAACCCTTAACAAAGGAATCTCTACCTCAACTGGAAGCACCGTGTCTGTACTGTAGATAAGAGAAAAGGGGGTTGCCCCAGTTGAAGTACACACAGACTACCTTTAGCCATGTAGAGCAAAAGACAACAATTCATGCCAATCTTTTCATGTTCTAACCATTTTCTGGACTATCTTCTTTATGTTCTTATTAGCAGCTTCGACTGCACCATTCATCTTTGGTCGATAAGACGATGAATTATGGTGTTTAATCTTGAACTCTTCACATAACTCTTTCATCATTTTGTTATTAAGATTTGAACCATTATCAGTGATGATTCTGTTAGGAACTCCATAACAGCATATGATCTTCTTTCTGATGAAGTTGGTAACGACTTGCTTGGTTACATTCTTGTAAGAAGCTGCTTCCATCCATTTTGTTAAATAGTCAATGGCAACGAGAATGAACTTGTGACTGTTTGAACCGCTTGGCTAAATCTTTCCAATCATGTAAATTCCACACATTGCGAACGACCATGGTGAAGTCATAACATTCAAAGGAGTTAGAGGGACGTGGATTTTGTCTGCATACACTTGGCATTTGTAGCACAACTTTGCATATGCACAACAGTCACTTTCCATTTTCATCTAGAAATACCCTACACATAGGATTTTCTAAGCCATAGAATGCCTGCTTGAATGAGTCCTGAAAGAACCCTCATGGATTTCCTTTATTATTGA